GGTTGACCCCCGTTTCACCCCCCCCCCCCCCCACACACACACACACACACACACACACAGAACAGTAAGTCTGTTTTCTGGCTAAAATCCTTGTTACTAACTTTACAAAGTCAATAATTCAATAGTCGTCCATCAAAATAAGGCAGTCATATACATTGTCCCATACATTGTCCTTCTATTACTTTATTTAACCGACCAAGCGTATTCCTTAATAATTAAAGGAACAACACGTACTGCTCTATCGTGGCTTAGATTTTGCCATAGTAATCATCCTTAAAGCTAGCATTGGCTTTCCACCAGAGTGCTTTCGAGAAACTGACCACTGGGTACCGTTCAGCGTTAACAACACCATTCCCATACCTAGATCGATCTAGCAGGATCGACCCATCCCTCTCTGATGTCTGGCGCGCCTATACTGAAGCTGTTAGGGGGTAATTAACTATCGTTTAGCATCTTCAGTAGGCGTGCCAGACATCTAAGCCGCTTGAGCTGAGAACAATTTCGAGAATCCCTTGGAGATGGATTGATCCTGTTAGATCGATCTAGGTATGGGAATGGGGTCTTAATGTCTGATGTCATGATCAGGTAGTTGGGTGTCGCAGTCTCAGAACATCGCCGTACTCATACAATTGTGTGAAATTTGGATTGTAATCTTAATGCTAAGATATAGATAAATAATCACCACATTATTGTTTAGAATGAAGTTCAAAAATTTAATAAAAGAAGGCATTTGCTGTCAATGGCCCTGCACGTTTGCGAATCGCCAATTAAACTCTACTTAAGTGTCTTTTTACATGTTTATCAAACTGCTTAAAGCAAACGAACCATTGGGCTTCGATTTTGCAATAAACTTCTCATTCCTCAAAGCAGCGCGTTTTCTAATGGAAGAAGAAAACAATCTGTTTACGACGGTCTCGACATGGAACGTTCGCGTCAAGCAACGCGATTTTCAAAAAGAACTGTTAATGAAAAATACATGTAGCGTTTCGTTGGTCAACGGTTGACCATGGTGCTGAAGGGTTATTTTTTGGCTGACCAAGCAGTCTGTTCGAGCTACAGGGCGCAGAGACAAGAACAAATCTATGTCTGAATGTCAACAGGCGGCAGAGCGTCCCGCTTTGACAGTAAACACAATCGTTGAGCAATTTTGAGCTATGAAAACACTCGCCACCATCTTACTCGTAAGGTTTCCAACGCAAGCCGGGTGATCATTATACGGTCTTAAACCCAGCTTTGTCTGGGATTGAAAGGAAATCCACAGCAGAGAGGAATCAGCGCATCAGGCTTTGATTATCAAATGACCGTGCTGAGAATCGAACTCTGATTATCGTGTCACATCCAATCGTTTCACTTCTGGCAAATATATTTTTACGAGAAGCTCAGATTTGTTATGATGTGGTCAGAAACGCATTAAATTTAACAGGTATAAGTGCATATGACGTCAGTAATCGTCCTGATGTCCCATTGATTTATATAGACAATAAACCTCTGAAACACGTACGTCCACCTATTGTGACGTCACTAAGTGTAGTCCCAGTTCCGCGCCTCAGCGTTGAAGCGGTAATTATTGACCAGGGTGGAACTAGGGGAAGGAAGAGAGGGGGGGAGGTCATGGTTTCTGAATTTTCCAAGAATTATCATCAGGTCTATCTTCACTCGTCTCCATTAATCAACAAAGGCTGTCAGCTGGTATGTAATTTTCGATAAAGTAATGCCTGACAATAAGCTGCCAATCAAGTGTTTTTCTTTTTTTTTTTAATCTTTGGGAACCCAGGGAAAACTGATGCCTTGGTGTTATGAGAACTATATTTCTACAGAGATGATTGTGCCTATTGAGGCTTTTTCAAGACAATTTTTATATGTGGTCTTAGTATTGGCTCTTTTCCAACATCGCCGCGATGTTCATAATTGCTTCCATTCCCTTTTCGAAGAAATCGCATGACCAACCACATGAATTCGCCACTTTCACAGATGTGTCATAGGTGACATTTCCTAAAAGACCATTGAAGGTTTCCGAAAGGCAGTCAATTATTAGTAATTGTAAGTATTAGTAGAATAAACACTTACCAGAATATGCTTATTGTACTTATTATCAGCTTGTCATGGTCTATAAGGTGGACGGCTATCTGGGGCTTAGATGACTGACAGGAATACTGTTCAACACGTTCACGACGAGCTTTGAAATCAATATTGTTACATGATGTAAAGACAACTGAGAAGAAAAATGCCTCGAAAACGAATGGCTTCTGTTAACAACATCACGCAGAGTTGTTTTGATAGTGACGCACTCTAAAAAGTGTCCAAAAGTTTCGAAAACACAAATGATGGCTTTGTTACATTATTGTTTACATCAACATGTTTCTCTTGTCTGGACGAGTTTTCAATTGGGACTGCGCAATTAAGCGCAGATTTGTTTTGAAATTGGCTAATTGGCTTTTGTAGGCGACTCGACATGTGCAAAATAAGTCCATCTTGACACGAATCCACTAATTAACTAGCATTATCAACTGCTACATCATTTTAGGTGAAGCAAAGCTTACTTGGAAAGGGCCCAGAGTGCTCTGGTTTCCTCTAAGATAAATAATTAACATTAAATTAAACATTAATTGATTGATTAGCAGATCATCTCCAAAATCTGATCACTGTAGCCCATTCCTGGTATCTTCTGACCTATACTGAAAATATCAGCAAAATCCGTTTAAAACGCTTGTCAGACAGTTGCTTACATAAAAAAACAAAGAAACAAAAGGAACCACACGCAAAACTCCTTAACGGAGGTACCAAACAAACAAACAAATAAAACAACAACATGTTAATAAATAAATAAATAAATAAATAAATAAATAAATAAAATAACAAACTACCGGTAACTAAGGGAACCTCTTTGTTGGAGTCAATAAGCTTAAAAAAAGTTTATTTCTCTAAATTCTTCAGAGAAGGTATCATTTTAATGGAACTACGTTTAATTGTATTATCATGAATTTGCAGATTTTAACCAGGAAAAAACCGATACCTGAATAAAATGAGATCTGTAAATTTACAGAGGTTTTTATATTTATGGAAGTTTTTTACGAGAAAAAAAAACAGCTTATTAATCTTAGGAATATTAGGTATTGTCCGGCAATTCTGCGAGATAAATGATTCCTTTTCCATTTCGACGAATTTACATGGAATGGCAGTGCATTTCATGACCCACTGGTACCCGTGGGCGTGGCTTTCATTGTACACTGTTCGTGTATGTTGTCTGCAATGCAGTTCAAAAACAAGTCAACCTTTTCAGTTGTTGTCATGCACCTGGATAGGCTCGTTATCACCTTGTTATCACCCCTGACGCACACGACTAATTGGCTCATTAATACTACAAAATAATGATCCGTTTATTTTGAGTCTAAAAGTCGTGCAATGTTCAGTAGACTTTACAACGTATTAGATTTATAAATGGTTATATATAAAAATGATTAAGATACACAGACTTAAAATTGACTATGCAATTTTTATCCAAATCATTTTTCTTCGATTTTGTCCTATTTTTTTTTTTTTTTGACTGATAATTGAAAACAAGGCTTCATGTTTCAAAAACTTTTAACTACTGTATCTGTGACACTGTGACATTTGAGTGCATTATCCTAATTAAGCAATCAAAAAATACATGACTAATTTTAAGCCATACAACAACCATTAAAAATGTGATTTAGATTTTCATATTTTCCAAATTATGATCTGTATTAGAGTTATACGCCTCTCAAAGGACGTCCATATCAGTGCCAAGGTCAATGTTGCTTCTAGCATCATCTGGATGCTCTGTTTGGGCGGGCATTTTCATCTGATAAAATAAAATAGTTCCTGAGGTGGCCACCAACAAATGGCAGGCAAGTGGTTTCCAGAAAATCCTTACTTGACATGGGTAAGGTTTCCATTGCGATTACCATTGGCGTTTTGGCACCTATAAGAATTCCCCCCCCCCCCCCCCCCAAAGATACTGGTGCTGGCACTGCCACCAGTCACTTAAGAAGCAACACACTCGTAGGCCTGCACTTCTTTATTTGTTTTTAGTGAATTGGCAGCTACCGTTGAAGCTATTCAGAATGTTATGTCACCATTTGTTTTTAAACTAGCTTTGGGAGGTTCTAGTACTATTTTGTCACCGGGCTTCATGGTTCTTTGAGGGTATTTATGTCCAACCAGATCGGTTATATACAGTATATTTTGAGCTAGATAATAAAATGCAGCATGAGTAAAAACTAAGAATTGAAATAAAATTCTAGACCGAACTGGAAGCCAGTGCAGTTGCTTTAAAATTACAGAAATCTGGCAATCTCTAGGCTGTAACATAAACAGCCATGCCGAAACATTCTGAATGCGTTGTACTCTTTAAATCTTCAAGACTGCAGACAAAAAGTTCTCTGCAGACAAAAATGTCCTTGTTAAGGGATAATATCTGCACAAAGGAAAATGGCGGTTGGCTTTGGCGAGTCCACGTAGGGAGCTGTAGTCTAGAGGCGCATTCAGAACAGCGGACTAACAAATCCGAGGGTCAAATATGGCGACTCACTAAAAAGGTTGCCGCTTAATTCCCGCTAAGACACTGAATAGATTCCCTGCGAGGATTACGCAACAAGCATTCAAGAGAACCAGTCATATTTGGTCCGCGGATCTGCTATTTCGCTGTTCTGAATGCGCTCTAGGATGTTTTGTGTGGACAAGCCAGGTTCCAAGCGATTTGATGGCTTATTCTATTTTATTTGGATTTTCAACGTGCGTAGTTGGTGTTAAAGTTCTGTAAGCTTCCATAACGCTGGTACCTTGCGATATTATCAAGTTCTTTTAAAATGCTTAACCGATTTTAGTCTGGTTCATTGCATTATAGAGTGTGATGTTCTTAAGTCATCTTATGTGCTTTTTAGATTAATGAACCGGACAAGGTGACGGATAACATGGAACAAACGATGCGCCTTAAATCTTACTGCAAGACCTTGTCTATTCGTCTTTGTCTTTTACAGTGAAAGAAGGACAATTTCATGCTGGGAGATGGCTAGGCAATTGTGCATTGTGTTAGCGGTGCTGATTATGTTTGTAGACGTCACCAGCGCGCGCAGCGTCATGGAGGAGAAGAAAGAATGGCGGCAATGCTTCTGTCCACGCTACGAGCCGTACAACTCTATTTGCCCATCTGAGTACCACTGCTACGGGTAGGTATTGCGAAGTCTTAGGCTGTATTCAGAACAGTGCACTAACTAGTCCGAGGGTCAAATATGACCGACCCACTTGTACACTTCCCCACGGGATATCTAATCAGTGTCTATTAGCAGATTAGACGGCAAGTTTTTAAGTGGGTCGCCATATTTGACCCGCGGACTAGTTAGTGCACTGTTCTGAATGCGGCCCTAGGTTCAGTTTAGAGCTGGGTTAATTCTTAACTGGGAATTATAAAGCGACTGTTACTAGACCAGTTGCGAAACGTTGACTTTCCTGCCTATTTAAGAAATGATGAGGGTCTCTACAATCTTTTTTTCTGGTGGCGTAATTCATTCATTATTTTTAATTGAAGCTAGATCCATTTTCTTTATCTCGCTTGTTTTAATAAATCAGTCAAATCAATTGAAATTTGATGGTTCTTGTGTTCTCTGTTTAGTTTATTTCTTAGAGACGCTAGCCCAGAAATATTTTCCGTCTTTATATCAACTCATTTTCGTTGACATTGTCACCTCAAATTTCAAGCTACATGTACTGGACCTTAAAATCCATTTTTAAAGAAACATCCCAATCAACACTGTTTTTTCTCTTCCTTCCACGCAAGCGTCCAGTGTGAATGCGTCACCTGTGGCTGCAACCCCCCTCGTGGCACACCCTGGGGTCCGTACCCGACCTCTAAAAACACCGACTCCCTCTATCAACACTACATGGTGAACTACCGCAGAGACCAGGCTGGCATTGGAGCCAACTTCTCCCCGCATCCAGCAAGACCGTATAGCAATGCACGCCCCGCTGACGACGACTACTACTGGAGACAAATGTTGTACTTGAATATGCTCCGTTTTCGCGACAGCAGGCCTAACTAGAGGGTTGCCGGTATTATAGATCTCAAACGTCCTGGCGGAAGATTTTTCATAATATATATCACAATCGGTGCTTTGGTGCGAACGTAAGCGGCAGACGCAATACGTAGAATGTATGTCTATTAGGGGAACCTGTATTTCCATTAAGAAAACTATTATACATGACAGTCAGACCATTCAACGAGATGCTGACGCCCACTCCACTGTGTTTTCTTTGAAGTATTTTAGAGTTAAGGACTAAAATTGTAACAAATTGACTGTGACAGCATATGGAGCATCCTGTATTTCAGGAAAATGATATTTTCATAGTTTCGGAGCTGAAATACGCCTGATAAAAACACGCTTGAGCTCATTGTATTAGATAGCGCTTAATTGCCTTCATGCTATCATGTACTATACTTAAATGGTTGTTAAAAGCTTATCACGCTGTGAAAACAATGCAATTTTACGGCAACATTCATCCCAAATCACTCAATTGGCGATTCCTTACGTGAGTTAACAGTTATTTTAATTCAGCCGACAGAAACCTAACCGAAGAGTTTATTACCTAAGGCTTAGCTGTACCTTGTCACATTCGTCTTTGTCTTATACAGTAGAAATAAGAAAACTTCAAGTTGGAAAATGAGTAGGCAGTTGCTCATTGTGTTAGCGGTGCTGTTTGTGTTTTGTTGCCAAGCGAAATTGTTTTGAATGGATGTTCATGAGAGTGTTGTTGTCAAGACGTGCAGGTGGATTGCAAAGTACTTAGTTAATCCTAAATTAATTTCTTTTTCAGTCCGACGACCAAAGTAAAAACTAAAATTCCCGAGTTGAAAATGATGTGAATGTGACCCCACTTAATGAAGGACTTTTGTCACGCGTAACTAAGAGACACCTTAGTTGTTAGAACATCACTGTTCACTGTTCCAGTACAATAATGAACCAATAAAACTTATTTATAATTTAAAACTTGTTGTTAGTTTCATTTTATTTACTGTTATTGATTGTCTTTTCGAGCGCATTTAGAACAGCGATCCAATAAAATTGTAAAATTGTGTGATGCCTGTTACGGTCACTTATCGAGATGTGTCTAAAATGCAATATATTTGCCTGTACGTCAAGATTTTGACAAGGGGTCTGAGCGTAAAATGTCTAATTAAAATAAATTAATTGGATGATATTTCAATATTTTTAAATATTCACGATGTTGTCTGTATCCTTATTTTATTACTAGACCATATTTCACTAAAATCCTGCCTACGGCAGAGTATACTGCTCTTAATTGATAAAACCGACCATGTTATATCGATTTTTATATGACTGAATTTTAAAAAAGTTTCCCTCAAAATTCACCAAAGTTCGCCTTATTTAAAACCAGAAAAAATATTCCGATCTATAGGCATATTTTCCAAGTTTCATATTTCTATATTTTCTATGGTAGCGAGTTACGAGAGTGACTCAAACCAAGAAAACTAGAGCTCAGAAATACTTTTATACTTTTAAACGCATTAGACTAGGTCACGTGGTCCGACGGCAAGCACAGATTCCAAAATAATTGCGTTAACCGTCGTTTTGGGGTAAATTATAATTTATTATATTTCTTTTAGTTGTTTACAATGTGTTCATTGTGAAATATGAATCCCATACGAAGAGTTGTTATCCTTTTAATGAGTTACAGGGGTAGGCTTATACATCAATTATGTATCGATGTGTCCAATACCATGTCAAAGTAATGGGTCAATGCCCCTGGACTGTTCACTGGACACCAGTAAATCAATATGAACCCAGAGTGGACGGTGCACATAATGGCATTTATTGAATTTTATTTAATGTACATCGGTGGTCAAATAATATTTAATTTATAGGCTAGTAGAGTACATACAACCCACGTTGCAGATGCGGTCGTCACTTTTAATTGCAGTGACGTCCATTCTTTTTCGATTTATTCATTTTATCGTCGGATGTTGACAGTGATAGATTTTTCTTCGTTTCCAAAAGCAACGCCTCCCAATGAGCGGAAATTGGTGTTTATCAAAATTTTCAATAATCCAGTCTGGCTTTTGATTCAGAATTGGAGTATTCAGAATTGGAGTATGAAGGAAAGGCTTTGAAATGCACAGTTGTTATACATGTATATGTGGTTGCTTGATTGTTTCTAATGTAAACATACGTTGTTTTATTGAAAGGCATTTTAACGCAAAACCCCCCTCACTTATTTGCTCTCTTTCTCACTCGACTAACTTTGAATGTCGTAAGAGATTCTTTAACTATTGGGTATGAGTATGGAGAGTCGTTCTCGTACCCCAGGAAAATCCGTTTTATGACACTTTTCCCTCCAAAACGTAGAGTTGTTATCCCCTTAACCTTGCTGACGTACACGTTACCAAACCCTGATTTCGTAATCTTAAATCTTTATCTAGTGGAAAATGCGAGAGTTTTTAACTGAAGTTTAATTAACTAATTCGATCTTACAATTCATTTTAACGATACATATTCAATTTCCAAATCTATTATTTTAAACGATGGCCGCAGGGCTTTTTTTTGCTAATGATATAACGAAAATTTAGGATCGATTTTTTAGCCAAACGAAGAACTATGTACACCCAGACAGTCGATATTTCATCACTNAACCGCGACCAAATAAAAAGCTTGTCGGTTAATTCCCGATTAGACACTGAATAGATTCACCGCGGGGATTACGAAACAAGCATTCAAGTGGATCGACCATATTTGATCCGCAGGTCTGTTAGTCCTCTGTTCTAAATGCGCTCTTTGGAACAATTTGACCCTTCATATTAATAATTCACACCGACAGTTACTGGTGTAAAATTATGTGATGCCTGTTACGGTCACTTATCGAGATTTGTCTAAAATGCAATATATTTGCCAGTAAATCAAGATTTTGACAAAGGGTCTGAGCGTAAAATGTCTAATTAAAATAAATTAATTGGTTGATATTTCAATATTTTTAAATATTCACAATGTTGTCTGTATCCTTATTTTATTACTAGACCATATTTCACTAAAATCCTGCCTACAACAGAGTATACTGCTCTTAATTGGAAAACCGACCATGTTATATAGATTTTTGTATGACTGAATTTTTAAAAAAAGTTTCCCTCAAAATTCACTAGGTTCGCCTTATTTCAAACCAGCAAATAGATTCCAATCTATAGGCATATTTTCCAAGTTTCATATTTCTATATTTTCTATGGTAGCTAGTTACGAGAGTGACTCAAACCAAGAAAACTAGAGCTCAAAAATACTTTTATACTTTTAAACGCATTAGACTAGGTAACGTGGTCCGACGGCACGCACAGATGCCAAAATAATTGCGTTAACCGTCGTTTTGGGGTAAATTATAATTTATTATATTTCTTTTAGTTGTTTACAATGTGTTCATTGTGAAATATGAATCCCATACGAAGAGTTGTTATCCTTTTAATGAGTTACAGGGGTAGGCTTATACATCAATTATGTATCGATGTGTCCAATACCATGTCAATGTAATGGGTCAATGCCCCTGGACTGTTCACTGGACACCAGTAAATCAATATGAACCCAGAGTGGACGGTGCACATAATGGCATTTATTGAATTTTATTTAATGTACATCGGTGGTCAAATAATATTTAATTTATAGGTTAGTAGAGTACATACAACCCACGTTACAGATGCGGTCGTCACTTTTAATTGCAGTGACGTCCATTCTTTTTCGATTTATTCATTTTATCGTCGGATGTTGACAGTGATAGATTTTTCTTCGTTTCCAAAAGCAACGCCTCCCAATGAGCGGAAATTGGTGTTTATCAAAATTTTCAATAATCCAGTCTGGCTTTTGATTCAGAATTGGAGTATTCAGAATTGGAGTATGAAGGAAAGGCTTTGAAATGCACAGTTGTTATACATGTATATGTGGTTGTTTGATTGTTTCTAATGTAAACATACGTTGTTTTATTGAAAGGCATTTTAACGCAAAACCCCCCTCACTTATTTGCTCTCTTTCTCACTCGACTAACTTTGAATGTCGTAAGAGATTCTTTAACTATTGGGTATGAGTATGGAGAGTCGTTCTCGTACCCCAGGAAAATCCGTTTTATGACACTTTTCCCTCCAAAACGTAGAGTTGTTATCCCCTTAACCTTGCTGACGTACACGTTACCAAACCCTGATTTCGTAATCTTAAATCTTTATCTAGTGGAAAATGCGAGAGTTTTTAACTGAAGTTTAATTAACTAATTCGATCTTACAATTCATTTTAACGATACATATTCAATTTCCAAATCTATTATTTTAAACGATGGCCGCAGGGCTTTTTTTGCTAATGATATAACGAAAATTTAGGATCGATTTTTTAGCCAAACGAAGAACTATGTACACCCAGACAGTCGATATTTCATCACTTTACCTGGTGTTGTTTTGAACTACAGCAGTCGATAAATCAATATCCAAAATATCCATAACTTCTTAGTATTTGGTTTGATTACATAATTATCGATTTCTTTTCAAATTACAGTAGGCATTACTATTGAACGAAGGGTCAATTTATTTTTAAATACTTGAAGTAGCAGTGTATGGCAAGCTGCATGAACGTCAAGTTATTTTCGCTGTTGGCGTTCACTTTTACTTCACACTAGGGAAGTGTCAACTGCAAGCCTGTAATATATATTCTGATGGGTTACTTTACGCTTTAACGCCGAGAACAATAAAATGGAGGGAATGATTGAAATACTGGTAAGTTCAATAAAAATGGTGGTAGACACCTTTCAGCCAAGTTAAATATCTTGATTTTAAAGAATCAAAAAAGTTTTTCTGGCTAACGTTGTTGAAGTGGATCGATACATTAATATGATCAGAATCGTTAAGAAAAAGCTTTTTCTCCCGTTTACTTTATGTCAAATACTAATCTTGACAATAGTGCAATAAAATTAAACGCTTTTAGAGCAAAAACTCCCTTTTTCATTCCCTCCCCCCCCCCCACCCGCCCGCTCCTGCTCTTAAGCGATGTTCCCGTTTATCGCCAGTTGAACTGTTCGTAAATTGGTGTAAGATAGTGATTGGTTTTTGCTCTACTCCGTAACTACATAAACCAGATATCATCATGAGTATTGGAATGGTTGACGACAAGAATTTGAAATACAATCCCAAGACAGATTTTACATTATTTTTCTTGTTTAATTAGCCTCCAATCACAATATTCCGTCAATTAATTAATTCGCTTACTTAATGATAAATTCCACATTAAGCTTTTCAAGCATATCCCCTGACAACAGATTTTAGTAGTTCTTGTTAAAATGGTGTTGATGGCTGTCCAGGTGAGGGAGACCTGTTTGTAATCGAAAACATAATTTTCAAAACAAAAGCTCTACTGGCACGGCAACAGCCTGAATTAGCTAGTTCTGATTTAACGTTTCGCACGACTTTAAGAAATATATTTCGTTCATTTGTCTACAGATCCATAAAAAAAAGATCGACCAATACATATTACATAGAACAGTGTCAGAGTGACAACCTTTACTGTGAGATGGATAGATGAATCTGGAGACAAAGTTCGATTTGTGTTCTGAACTTTTTTATGAAATGTATACCAACGATGGGCTTCGGCCTCAAATCACTACACGTCCAATCTTTATAGACTATTAAAACCATGTATTTGATTAGAAGAGTTTGATAACCCTAGAGATGATGATGAAGATGATGATGATGATGATGATGATGATCATGCTGATGCAGTAATAAGCCGCTTTCTCTTTTCAGGTAATTTTTATCATATTGATGACGCTAACGCCAGGTAAGTAGGCTCCCTGGTCAATTTATGACACAAATGAAAAGCGGGAAAATTTTGTGAATTAAAAGGATATAAGTTATCGAATATCTCATATGACTTAATTGTTATTTCAAGCCAGAAAAGGGCCGTTTCTAGCTATAAACTTGAAAA